CTGTCCCTGTGCTGTTTTTTTCCATCCCCCTTGTTCCACGGATGGCTGAGGATGGACTTCTGGTGCCCTTTGCCATTAACAGATCCTGTGTGACCCCAACCATGAGCTGGGCATGGCCCCAGAGGGCCCAGTCCCACCCCAGTGGTGGACATGGTGACCCCATTGCAGGTTTTCTTCTGGATTGGGAAAGATGCCAACGAGTCAGAGAAGGAGGCAGCAGCTGTGATGGCCCAGGAGTACCTGCGGAGCCACCCCAGTGGGCGCGACCTTGACACCCCCATCATCGTGGTGAAGCAGGGCCATGAGCCCCCCAACTTCACCGGCTGGTTCCTGGCCTGGGACCCTTACAACTGGGCCGTGAGTCATGAAGGGGGCTAAAAAACAGCGGGGCCCTGCGCAGATGGGGACCAAGTCTGGATCTGGCCACAGCCAGCATCTCCTGGGCACAGGCAACGGTTTGCCTGATCCCTGCCTGGGCTGAGCACTTTTATCCCCTTCCCAGGACAAGAAATCCTACGAGGCGCTGAAAGCTGAGCTGGGGGACGAGAGCAGCCTCGGGCAGCTGACCTCAGTAAGTGGCCCAGAGAGAGGGGGCAGCTGTGGTGGGAGAAGGCACAGAAAGCCCCTCTGTCCCTTGGCAGGTGGCGTGAGAAGCTGCGAAGATGCATCTTCCAATGAGGGGACACCTGGAGCCATCCTGGTGCCTCCATTCCTGGGGACACAGGGCAGCAGCCTCTGATGTACTCTGTCCCCCTCATCCAGGCGCTCACGTCCAAGCAAGAGGTCTTCTTCAGCACCACCACCCTTGTTCCCGAAAAACTGGAGACCTTCCCGCTGGACGTGCTGCTGAACACCTCGGCTGAGGACCTGCCACGGGGTGTGGATCCCAGCAGGAAGGAGGTGAGCCCAGGCCAGGGGGGTTGATGCAAGTGAGGGAGACCAGGGGAAGTCCCTCAGCTTTAGCTCAGCCTCCTCTCTTCTCCCTCAGTACCACCTCTCTGACCAGGACTTCCAGGCTGTCTTCGGCATGACCCGCTCTGCCTTTGGCAACCTGCCCTTGTGGAAACAACAGAAACTCAAGAAGGAAAAAGGACTCTTCTAGGGCAGTAGCCTGTGCCCAGGGACACCCCCAGCTTGTTATTTTTATTAAATAAAATATATTTGGAGAGTGTCTTCCCCCTGAACCCTCGTCTCAGCCCAGCCACGGGGCTTATTTGGCTAAGAGGTGGCGCACAGGGGGACACAGGTCTTGACTGGGCGCCGAGGCAGCACAGGGAAGGTCCCTCAGCTCCTTCTCCTCCAGGTCCTTTGCCCCCACTGTGCAAGCTGCCCACTCCTGGGCCACCCCCAGGGAGCCAGGGCTCCCCCATCCCACCCCACCAGCCTACAGCTCAGGGCTAAAGGTTTGGTATACAGCTGCAGCCACTCCCTCCGTTATCGACTGAACCTCAGTAAACACACGCGGTACCAAAGGTAAAAGTGACAAGTCACAGGCCAACAGGGTGGCACGTGCGTGGGGACAACACCTGCTGGGGACGGTCACCAGGGACCCCTGGCCCTTTCGTTGTGGGAAGGGGAGGAGGGCACCTCCCTCCTGCTTGGGATCTGCAAGGACTCGGAGAGGGGCTCGGGTGTCCCCTGCTGGGACACATCTCTGGCAGAGAAGCTGGGATTTGCATGTGCCAGGAGGAGCTGAACACACACAGGATGTTCCCGGGCAACTGAGCAAAGTCCCAAAGCCAAACACGGGGCAGAGGTGCAGAATCAACTGCCTGCAATGCTCAACAGGCAGCAGCCCAGGTGGCATGGAAATAAGATCCCAAACCAAGAGAGGGTTAATAAAGAGGTTTTAATTTCACAAAAAGCTATCTACACATCATTTAAAAAGGGGCAGGGGAACCCAAGAACAAAAACTGTAAAGAATAGAGAGGAACAGGTCTGCTAAAACACAGAGAAAAGTGCTGCTCCACATCAACAGTGTAAAGAACCAGAAAGTCAGGGTGCAGGCAGAAACGGGCAGCGACCACCTCGCGGCAGGCAACGCTGGAGTCTGGCAGCAGAGCTTCTCCAGCAGCAGCTGCCAGGGGTCCTGCACCCCTTTTTCTCTCTTTGGCGGGCAATTACAGGGATAATCAGTTCCATTAAAAAAAAAAAAAGATGAGTTATTCCCAGCTCCCCCACGCCCCCGAAGCACAGCGATCCCCATGTGCCCCATGCCTGGGTGAACCTCAGGAGAAAGCACTGGGCTGGCCATCAGCCCTTCCTCGGGATGTGGGATGGGAAGGAAGATGCACAGGCGATGGTTATCCATGCTGCGCAGGAGGTAGGAGACGATGCCACAGTTGCAGGTGAGAGCCCCGCTCCTCCTCCTGCTCAACTCCTCGCATCCGTCTCAGGCTGCCGCCTCAGTCAGGAAACCAAGTCCTTGCTTTGCAAAGGCTCTTTGTGCAGCCTGGCTGGCCAGGGCTCCCCAGGGACCCGTGCAGACAAGCTCCAGTTCATTGACATGAACGGTCTTGCACCGCTCAGAGTAGTGGAGTAAGTCAAGACCAAATTATCGCAGTAAACCAACGAAAGGGTGAGAGGAAAGGCAAGATGGGAGTTCCTTGTGTTTATATGCTGAATAACAGTTGGACTAAACTAAGCAGACTCAGGAGCAGGTAAATGTTTAACCACAACTCTTTATATCTAAGGGAGATCCTGCACGCGTTCACGGACTGCAACTGAACTTCTCCACCTATCTATACCCCAGGATGGGTATCCCCCACCTGGAAGAGATGACCTTACTGAACTTGCTGCTGCGGCAGCGCAAGTGGTGGGAACATTACAGCTGGTGGGGAGTGCACCCCTGGAGGATTACACACCCCCCCCCCTTCCTCCCCGCTGCTCTGAGACAGGGAGAAAGCTGTCTTCTGCATGGAAGGGGCTCCATGGACACTCCTGCCAGGGTGAAGGTGCAACTGAGTTGCTGTATACCAAATGGAAAAAAAAAAAACTTAATTTAATTAGTAGATGTCTGCAAATTCTTAATGGCTAGAATAACAAGCAAGAACTTTTCATAAAACGAGGAATGCTGGTTTCAAGCATCAGCTTTCGCACCTCGATCCAAATAAAAACTGGTTTTAAACAGAAGTTATGCACTGAAAAGTTGGGCAATGTTCATTTTTATTATAAATTAACTGGAGTGCAGTGCCTTGGAAAAACAACCTTGCCACCCAAAAAAGCAGAGCTGACTTCTGATACTACAGGAATACCAGTTATTCACAGCACTGGCACAGGATGCGCTTGGGGAAAACAGATTTGTCCTCTGGACGGAGCAGTCCTTTCATCACGTTCGCAGGGGCGATTGGTTCAAAGGATAACTCCCGCCTCAATGCCTCTTCCCACCGCCCAGAATTCTACCAAAGTTAGTACGGACAATAGAAAAGCATAACGCTTTGTAATAAATTAACATATACACCCACTCAGGCTGCATCTTACAAGATAAACGCTCTGTCATGTTTGCAACCAAACGTTCGCTCCTAGCTCGGAAATCAGAAAGATGTCACCCTGACCAGGTCCACCAGGCTCAACCGACACGTGGACTGGAAGGTCAGTCAGTCTCTGCACCACGCCAAGGTCCCCAAAGCTGTGGCTCACTGCTGCACACAGAGGGGAGAAGAGGCCGCTGAGGTAGCACCCCCACACCAGTCCGCTGGGACAAACTCTCTGTGGAAGCGCCCATGAAAGAGGCAGCTGCTGTCTCCTAAATCGACGGTTTTGTCTGCTTTGCTTCAGCTGATTTATTCCTGAGAAACTCCTAATGATAGTTTAAAAAACTCAGAAACTATCTCGACAGGAAAAAGAAAAAGGTGGTTGTGGGGTTTTTTGTTTTGTTTTGTTTTAAAAAAGAAGGTATTTCACCTCTAAAACTCAAGCTGCAGAAATCAGAACTAGAGGCCAAAACAAGAGCAACTACTCTGCTTAACAGCAACAATTTCTCTGAAATGAGTAAATGCCAGCAAAAGGAAACATCTGCCCCTGCTAAATAAGTGCGAAGGTGCTGAAAAAAATCAAGTCACTAGGCTTTCCCCCCCCTGCTGAAACAAGCGGTAAAAGGAGCATCCTGTCTCTAAACCCAGGAAAGTGCAACACTTCTTCCTCACCGTGTTCTGTTAATGCTGAACATGGCCTTGCTGAAAGCTCTCCACCTGGTTTAGTTTCACAGTTTGAGCGCTCTGCACTCCTCAGAAGGGAGAACAGAAGCGTAGCTGCAGTAAAAACCCTCTTACTCTGGGATACAAGAAGACCGAGGCAAGACCATGGTTCAATCAAGGAGCAACTTAAGTGCCAAGCGCTACTCTGCAGACCCCGACTTCTCCTGCCGTTCCCGTTTCACGATGACCCAGACCTGCGCAGAGAGGGTAACGCTAGAACAAACGCCCTTTCCCTCCCAGAAGACGACAAGTGGCTGTTGCTCACCTCCTGCTACTGCTCTCGCTCTGCTCCAGGTGTTCACCTACCCCCCGAGTCACACCGAAGGAGCTCTAAGCAAGACAACTTCAGCGCGAAACACCGCGCGCCTGAAGAGAGACCTCTCCTGCCCTCTCCAAACGGTACTCGGGCAACAACCCCACCAAGAAAATGCAATCAAATAACAGAACATGTAAAACAAAAGAAATCACCTACATAACCTCACATCTAAAGGAGAATGACAGTGAACGGTGTAAAAAACCGACAGAGCTGCCACCAGGTGTGCGATACATTCCACAGCACCACAGTCTGTCTCCTGGAACCGTATGTAAATAGCGGAGCTCGTACAATCCCATGAATGTCGGAACGCGTCGGCTTGAGGGATTCCAAAGCGCCTGTGAGCGACAGGACTGGCAAGAGCGTACTCAGTGATCCGGGTTTCCAGTGAATATTACTAACACAACACACGCCAGGTTACAGAATCTATTGCTTAAATTGCTCTCAGAGGAAAAACAAAAAAAAAAGCCAAGTGATATGTAAATCTTCACCACTCATCTCACAGGTGAATGGGCTTTTAAAGTTGAGTCTCTTTTTGCACTTTTTTTTTTTTAAATCAGTTTACGAGCAGCTGTAGTCTTGTGGCTTGATACAACTCTTTAAGGCTCCATGCTGACAAAATCATTTGAGGAACAATAAAAACTTCACCACAGGAGGATCGCTCTGGGATGTCAAGGTGTACACGCGTGGTTCAGGCCCAGGACTTGCACAGATGGTTCAACAAACCGAGCGTCCCATATTTCTGCCTTTGTCTCTTGTTTTGGCCCTGAGCTGTTTGTTGCTCCTGTGTGTCTGGCACAAGTTCAGAATCTTCCTTGTTCCTCAGGAGGAACAAGGTGTTTCACTCTTCACAGAGGCTGACGAACTGATCTTCCTACTTCCATGCTAAGTGGCTGTGCATTTTTTTCTGTTTCTAGTAACTCATCGAAGATATCCCTAGGACAGAGGGAAAGACCAATAGTTAAACTTATGTACAACAACAAACTGCTACAGAAGACAGCCCTGAGGGAATCAGCAGCTGGATTTAATCCACAAACTCAAGTGTTATGGATCCTGGCAGAGAAAAGTGTCTTATCTGGCATCTCTAAGCAAGGCTCCTTGAATCCCAAAGCACTTTTTTCATTTATTACAATGAATAAGGTCAGCGGTAAGCCTCAGAGAACAGTAACAATAGTGGAAATAAGTCCTGGCTGGTAAAAGGATCAGAAGCAATACAAGAGACAGTTTGTAGATAAAGTAATATCCTTTATTAGAGCAACGAGTAAAGACAGGAGGGGACAAACTGAGGCACAAAACCCCTTCTTCAATGCCCTGTGGCTGAAAAGATACCACTTCTACCTACAAAGCTCATCTTGCCCGTGTCCTGGGATGACCACAGCTGCAACAACACCACACCCGTGAGGAGCAAGGATAAGGGCATTTACAAATATCACAGCATTTAAGGAAAAAACTCAAGCTCCATTATGATTCTTGGTGCAATGAATGCATAGCTGAGACACTTAATTCCTCTCTTAAAAGATGATTTAATGCATGTTGTTACAACCCTATGTATTAGCAACACACAATTCCATGCCTCTGAACTCAGAGCACGTCAATTTTGTCATTCTTGCATATAATTTTGACTCTGAGTTCTTCTGACAAATACATGGAGATACTTTTCAATCCAGCAAAGAGGACTAGAGGAAGAAGAGAAGCCCACTTCCTCACAAACAGCAGGTAATTACGAGCACCAAAATTCCCCAAGACACCTACTTGTGCATGTAGAAGAAGATGTAACCACTTCGGTCTCTGTCACACTGAACGGTGGCCTCTAGAGTTCTAGACACTTCCAGGTCATTGTAGGTGAACCAGGACTGCTTCTTGATATCATAGACATCACTGATATAATGACCTTAAAAACAGAGAACGCACCTTTCTTTTCATGCTGCAGTTCAACTAGTAAGCTGGGCAGCTATGTACACTGGTCCAGGGACCTGTGTCAGGTTTAAATGCTAAAACACCCTTAAGATCCCAGTCCCTCCACCGTTCCTGGTCAATGAGCCAGTAACAAGCACAAGCCATTTTATGGGCCCCAGTACTGCCCCATATGCAGTACTCTGCATGCTGCAGTTTGGCACCATACTCAATCTGCTCCCTCATGAGCAATCTATGACACAAGACTTGCTTTGCTGTCTGAATTCTTCTCTGCAAATAATCCTGCGATGGTAATTCTGTATTACAAATTTTTTAAGCTAGATAAGAGATGAAGAATAAAATATGGTATCTTTTACCTGAAGATGATGTGCTTCCGATATGGCTGACGATGCTGATGAGACGATAGGAGTGAGGAAGCTCTCCTGTCTGAAAATAAAGTCCAATTAAAGCTTTTAGGCACTCGCTTTTGTCCCTCATAGCCTATGGACAGATGATTTACACCCAAGATAACAGCTTTGGCTACTGTATTCAAAGCTGCAACCCAACCAAGGATTACAGAAACAGACACCCTGTTTCAGACCAAATGAAGAGTTCTGCCAGAAATGGGAAAAAGCCTCCCATTTTATTTTATTTAATCTTTCAGAAAGCCAATGAAAATGCAAAGGAGACACTGGCCTCAGAACAGATGCTGACACGAGCTCTGCACTGCAAAGTTTTCTAAACAACCATTTCCTGAGTGACTTCCACTGATGTCAGAATTAATCCACCAAACAAACACAGAAAAGCAAAAAGGCCACACCACGCTTGCTTCTGCAACATCAAAGAAATACCCTTGATAATGGTACACAGATTTAACAGCTAATACCGGATATGTAGCCCAGTATGAGATTCTCTCATCCTGCACCTGTAATGTCAGCAGACAACGCCCTCTTCGCATGCAGGAAACATGCTCTGTCTATTCACTGACAATAAAACTAAATTATGGTAATTGGCTTTTGACAATGATTTTTTAATCCTCTCTGACCTTAAAATGTAACTCTTGGTTTAAAGGTAAGAAAATAAAAACTGCTCAAGGAAACTCCGATTATTTAACCTTTTCCACTCTACACAGGATCCCTTCCGCAGAGGCAAGCAGGCAACTTTCGCAACACAGCTGTGTGGAGTCAGAGAGCGACAGCAGCTGGCAGCCCAGCCTAGGTTACAGTCACATTTCACCTAATGGGAACGAGATTTTTGCCACAACTTCTCAGTTCTGGGGCTGCAGGATCTAAAAGTCCATGGCGTTGCAACTAAAACACCACGCTAGCTGAAGTCCTCTCTCTCTCTGTAAGTAAAAATTTCAGGCTCATTGCTTTACATGCACTGGAACATTACCAGTATAAAAATTGTTTCCTTTTCACCGTTATCCGCGTCTTAGAGAAAATCAGAGGGTCATTGCAGCTGCTTTGTTTTAGTTTTTTAAAATTAAAATAACACAATAAGACAGACTCTTAAGGATAGACATTTTCTATCTTTCCACTTCTGAACATAAAAGACCTTTCTAGACTCCACACCTGCTCTGTAAAACTACCTCCAACACTAAACCGATGGTAAAGAAAGGGTATATTTCTCGGTTGGCTTTTGAAATCATAGATCACACCTCAGCATTTCTTTTCAGCTCTTCTGCTTCAGCTTCTGAATACTCCATGTCAAGAACATCCTCATTCCCAGAGTCTTCATCAGAACCAACGCTGTCCAGGAGAGAGCTGTTAAACTCTAGATAGCATGGAAACAACAATACTGCGTGAGAAGCTGTGGTGTGCACAGGAATTCAAAACAGGTTGAGGTATACCCACCCACATTAACAGCACAATAAAATGCTAATGTTTCAAGCTTCCTTTCCAAGGAAAGTAGGAGATATTTGGAAATTCCAATAGAAACTCTCTCTCCTTTCCCCAACTTGTCATAGCAATATTTAAGAAAAGTATCTTGGACTACAGAATTAATTTTAGCATCGGCACTATGGCAATGACAGCTGGGTGATAAAAAAAGAGCATTTAAACACCCAATTCGCTTCAGAGCACTGGTGGTCTGCAGCCAGAACTGACATTAGAAGTACAGCCAGTCTGGTCAGTGAACGAGAAGCTATGAATTACAGTTTTAACTATAAGTTGCATTAACAAAGTGCATTTTTCAATTAAAACTGGCATCAAAACGCTACTGCTGGCAGCAGGCATCTTTTCATTGTTTTCAATGGCAAGAAGGCTGCTCACCGCAGGAACTTCCAGTTTGCTTGGCTGAGCAAAATGCAGGCAGCTTTCTGTAAAGAGCCGGAAGGCACCACTGCTCCCTGTACACACTGTTCCAAACTTCCTGGGATTCTGCAGCTACTCGACTAATTTAAGATTTTGTACAGTACTCATTAGGAGAAGGAGCTGTGCTTTCTCCAGCTAAATTAAAGCTATGAAGCCCTGGGTGGATGAGAAGTTGAGATTAACAGGACACAGCTCAGGATACATACGCATATATTTATTTTTTTTCTTAAAGAGACTATTGCGCCAGTTACGACGGCGATGTTTTGCCAAAGAGATCCTCACACTGTTTGCCCTGTTAAATCATTGGACACTAGATTAGTATAATCTTCTCAGGAAGTTCATAGATGAATTCCTTCAACTGAGAATATTTTACTGCTGGTTTCCACACTTATTCAAGGCTGTTGTAAGCTAGACTACAGGCAAGAAATGCAGCCACTTTGGTAGGTCGCTGCATGGATCACCTGCCATGGGTATTGCTAAACACTACTTCGCCAACGGTCCTCAGATGACTAGTGGTTCTTTGATTGCAGCACCACTGGGAACCTTTCTAAGACAAATACTACCAGCTATACGTTCAAGATCATCAGCAACTCCTTGAACAACTGTTGGCTGATTCCTTACAAATGACACGGTAGCAAGTCGAGAAGCAGAAGGCAACGCTCATGCTTAAGACAAGTGACTGCAAACCAGGATTTCTAGTGCTGAACCCTTCCCGGCCACCAATCAAGGAAGACCTGAGAGGGACTGGGCACTCAGTCTGCCAGAGCTAATTAGGGGACAGGACAGGCTCAGGGATGTCTAAGCAGCACTCAACTTCTCTTCAGAAGCAGACACAGGTTCATCCAGGAACACCTGAGGGCCTTTAAAAGTATCTGAGCAACTATGAGTATCTTAACACAATACTTCATTACCCTTCCCTCTCCCTCTTCAGAGCAGGAATTTTCTCTTGGTTATGCTGTACTCTGCCAGGTTGTATGAAATCACTCACATGCCAGCCTCACACAAATGTTAAACAGTGCCTGAGGCTCACCACACTGTCTGGATTTGGAGAAGACAGTGTATTTTGGGTTTCTTTTTTCACCCCCAACAGTTATACCTTGCAGTGAGATCTGTCTGTCTCCCTCCCACCCTGTATCAGACAGATAGAGCACTTAATCACTTTCCTGGGCAAGGCCAGTGCATTCATTAATCATCACTAAAATACCAATGCAAATAAGAAATAATCCTTACTCTGACTATAGTCATTAATGTGCCGGCTTTCACTGGGAATGCAAAATTTCAATGTCCATTTTGCTATACATAAATATCAGATACTAATTGTATATAATATATTCAATGCTATAAAAATACAATATTACATATATAATTACATATTTGTTTATATATAAAAATAAATTAAAATCTCGACAGACTGAAATAAGTCATTTTTCATATGAAGTTTTTCATGGCATTTGCTTTCTCAACCAAGAGGAAGAAAAGCTGACCTGAGCAAAGCCAAACAGAACAAAGCACACATCGAAAAAGCATGAAATCCCAGCTGTCTTACAGGCACTCAGGAACTGCACTCATACATACAGATCTATTTTCCCTCAAAAGCAACATCCTGGAAGAAGTTAAATAAGTTTCACCTTGTAGGCTTAATTCCGTGGCTCGTTTAAGGTCATCATCCTCTTTTTGTTCTCGTGCCTCCTGATGGGAAGAGAACAAAACTTAGCTCATTGAGACACTTCACTGTTTAAAATTCTTGTGGTGCTCTTTTTCCATTGAAACTGTGCCGCTCTGGTTTCTACAACAAACCTGACATTGTAAATTAAAGGTTCTGTGAGAAGGAATGTTTGCAACCAGCGAGAGTCCAATGTTCCCCTGCAACAGAACCTGGGACAAACCTTCATTAAGGCTCGTCAAAGCTCCTGAAGTTTGGTATGCAGCAGAGCGAGTCTCTACCCGAACGCTTTCTCTGGATCATTAATTTGAAAAGCATCTGAATGGATTTGCAACCCTTCGCTAAGGAAAGCTGTCACTTACACACAAAGCTCCTCACACTTCGGCAAAATTTAGACTTCTTCTGTCCAAAGCCAGCTGAGGACAGCCGTTAAATCCTGACAGATTTTATTATTTTTAAGCCGTTTGAAAGTAGAGCCAGTGGTTCTATGTAACAGGTGTAATTCACAAAGGCAGGATGCAAAAAAAGACACCACTAAACAACCAGGTATTAAAAATATTACCATGAACAAGTAGTAAAGAAACCTCAAGTCAACAAACTCTTCTAATCTTTGAATAACATTATGCCCCTGTCCCTCCCACCACTCTCGAAAGCTCAGAGCTACATCAAGCCAATCAATAATATTTAATGAGCTGGCTTCTTAATTCAGGGTTGGAATGCTTTCAGTGCACCTGAACACAGAACACCAACTACGTATTTCAAATCAAGATACCCACAGCTACTGCATTTCCATGCCTGAATCATTAGAATAGCAGATTTTTGCTTCAGAACTGTAGCAGAACAACACTCAAAGGGCAGTTTTACGTTATTAGCATGAGGCCTTTTATCTCACTATTTCTAAAGCATTTGGGAATCTTTGTTAAACTACTCAGCATCTCTGAATCAAAGCTACATCTGGCATGCAACATACCAACCAGCACCTCATAATGAGTAAGGGGAGAGAAAAATCCAAGAGCCATGGAAACAACAGATCTCATAAAAAAAAAAAATGACAGCTTTAGTATTAATAGAGAGTAGACAAAGGCACCTATTTACAGAAAGACCTGGCTAAGTGCTTGCTTCACTCTGAGCAGCTCGGTTAAACTTCAGAAATCACTTACAGGTCTTGAAATTCAAGTGGAATACAGATGGTTAGCACACAACCTGAGATCCCAGTTCTTTCCAAGTCTAGTTTTAAAGTCAGTTTAAAGCACTTGTTTTAGACTGAATTATTTGGGATCTTTTTTCCAATTTACTAACATGGAAGGATCACACAAATTCTCAGTTCCTATATTCTTCACTAAAGATCCCCTACACTTGCTGTTATGAGAAATAAGGCAGTGGAACAGGCAGATCTTTAACCTGACCTGGTATGGTCATTCTTAGCCTTTGCTTTGAAACCTGCTTCTTTCACTGAGTCTTGACATGACACGCTCCAAGAAGCAACTGTCAGGGAAGCTAAAAGTGGGCTTGGATCTTGGTGACAGGTAGTAAGAGTTTAGTTTAGTTTATCATCGTTTTTATTTCATGTTACAAGTCAGTAGATAAATGTGCATGGAAAGCTTTGAGAAATCTGCAGGTCTGTGATCTGAAATATGGTTTCCACAGCACATATAAAATGTGCCCAGATGTATCTAGTGGCATCACTTTACTGACACTGCAGCTAGAAGAAACTCAAACTTTTTTTCATCTCAAAAAAGCAGCAGAATCCCTTTGCAATTACTGTCTGAACACAAGCTTTTCCTTCAGTCATCAGGTTTCCAGTGCTGGGGAAGACAACTCAAGGAAGCAAACTTTATTTCTTACTTGCTCTTGAAGGCTTTGAGCCAGTGCCTGCTGAAGTTCTTGTTCTTCCCTCTCTCTCTCCATATCGTACTGTTGGAGCCAGTCAACCTCCCCCTGGGAGCCTTCTGGAGTTTTGTTTTCCTTATTCTCATCAAAATCTTTAGTTATCTCGGTGAAATTGGCAGGACCTGAGGAATCATAAAGTACAGTTATGCTTTCCGGGGTCTTCTGTTTGTTACCAGCTAAATCCTCTTTACGTCACCACAATCCTTGCAGCACAGTGACATCTATTGACAGAGAGAGCTCACCAGTCATAAAAAACTCCACACGAGCCAAATAGAAAAAGCTCCAAGGAGCAGTCTTATACTTATTTTAACAGGTGTAAGATGAACTGTTTGATTAATCCCCGAACCTGTTCTCCTCTGGGTCTTTTATGTTCACTCCGAAATAGCAACTTTAGTTAAAGGAAGATGTCACACACCACTAGGGCTTCTGCAGCCATGAAACTGACATTTGAATTTCTCTGGAAGGAACCATGGATTATAAAAATTTGCATTGCGTGTTATACCTCAGAGTACTATGGACGAAGCCACAATTAAAGTGAAATCATATGTAAGACAGAGGGAAGCATGAATCTCAAGCAATGTTTATATTTGTCAACTTTTTGCTTCAGGTAAGAACCTCCATCTTGTGAGCACTATCTACAACTTTAAAAGCACAAGATTATAATTTTTCAGTTCACCATTAAAGTGAACACTATAGCAGAAGTATTTTACAAAACTTCTGGAATGAACATTCATTCCACCACTGCATACATCTCCTCCTGCAGTTGCAGGACACTTTCATTTTCCCATTTGCTTGCAGCTGAGAAGAGTCAGGACCTGCTCCAACAGCTATCATCCAGCAACATGTGAAACTTTATAGTTTTGCCCTATGCAGATTTCAACATCTGCTCAATAGTTATTAGCAAGGACTACACAAGGCAGTCTCAGTATCTGCGACCTCTTAAACAAAAGACCACCAGAACTGGAACTATAATCCATCAGTCTAATCCTCTTGAGATGAAAAACAAAATAGAATTTATTACATGACCTTTGAAAACTTCCAGTGCAAGAAGAAATGCGCGCTTGACTCACACAACTGTTTTTTGAGGATCACGTAGCAGAACGTAATTCCTGTGTCATAACTAAATTAGCCTTTTCTGAAAGCACCACAAATTATTCAGTGTTTACAGAAAAAATTACTAGTTGTAACAAGAAATGGACGAAGTTAAATCAATCCATCATGTTTAGAATCATCTTGTCCGATATGGCAAAGTATCCTTTGCAATTAAGTTTCCCTTAAATAGAACATAGGATTGTGAACTCATCGCACAGTACATTCAGCTGCCATAACTGTTAACAAAACATACACAGATACACACCTCATCTGAATGCCAAACTGTATGCTTTGAGTACTACTTGTTTTTTTTTGGTCATAAGCAGTAAAATACAGAAAGCTGAACGCAATGTTGAGTGTTTAACTGCATTCTTACTAAGCAAATACAGAAAACTCTATTAAACACATCCTTCAGTGTCACAACAGAGCCTTCAAATAATTACGTTATATTTTCCAAGGAAAACCTGGAGAGAGATGCATTTATGTGGCCACACTCTCACAACTCTTTCTCATTAACCATAAGCAATGTTAGTGTATATAAAGGAGGGCACAAAGGTGGCTGACCACAGGCTTAGCTTTCTTACCCACTGCCTTCCAACATGAAAGCTGTCAAGAGCTGTCCAGTGAAACAAGTGTGATTTTTGGTAGTATAGTGGAGTTTTTTGTTGTTAATATTTAACTTCCTGGCTCTTAGAGGAGAAGGGAAACATACTGTTTGTCTGTTTTACCATGCTAGTGGAATTACAAATCCAACTGAAAGCACACCACAAACGACAAACATTTAAATTTCCTTCGGCCAAATAAAGGAAGACACTCAATTTCCCCACACTGTGACCAAACAGGCTCCTTCTAGGACTTAACTGTTTCTGGGTCAAAGGCCATAATTCATATGCTGAATCTCTTATGCTCAAGGGTCTAGTCTCACATAAAAAAGTATTAGAAAAAAATCACAGAGACAGAGCTAAATTCATTAGTAACTACTGCCAAAATAACTGCGTTTACAAGAGCATTCTAGTCTCACGCACGCCAGACATCGCTCTTGCACACCAGTGATGTGAACACTGCTACCGCGCTGCCCAGGCTGCAGCAGCTACAGAAATGAACATACTTTCTGATTGTGGAAGATTAAGTTCCAGGCACTGAAAAATCTTAGTAAACTGAATCATCTGGCACGGGAACCAGTGGAAGCATGTGTTAATCAGAAGAGGAAAAAAAATGGAAATTAACTCTGAAGATGACCTCACCTTTATCAGAGATGTGACAGACATACAAGAAAATACATTTTCAGAATTCAATGAATTAAACTCTTTAAACACAGGGAAACTGTAAGAAAACTGAGGAAATCAGGCAGTTTCAGCAGTGCACTTGCATCCAGATTCTGCCACCATACATCACGAACCTGCTGCTATCAGTAACCTGCTTCAACTCGCTATAGTCTGATTAAGATAGTTACTTCGCCTTACCTGAGTCTAATGCTGCTTTGGGTTTCTCCATCTCCATAGATTCCAGGTTTTCTGGCAGTTCCTGAATTTCCTCGTCTCCAAAACCAGTGTCTGGGCTGCTTGTGGGCTTATCTTCATCATGGCTCAGAGACAGAGAAGCTTCCCTTTTGCTAATCTCTAAGACAGCTGCTAGCAGCTCATCTTCGCTCATCCCATCAAAACCAGCATTACCCAGCTCAGGTTTGTCACCCTCCATTTTACTTCGTTTTGAACCCTAGAGATTAATGGAGTTACGATTAAGTGCTTGAATATACAGGGATATAACATCAGCTTTACATTTCTGTGGAGATTTCTTTTTACCTATTTTACTAATCCCAAGGAGTGGAAACTTGGCTCTGTCAACATGAAACAGAGAAGTTATATGAGACTCAATGGAGAGACAACCTTTGTAGCTACATTCACTCCAAGGAATAATATTTAAATATAAACCACAACCAGTTTTTACAAGCCCTGTAGATTAACATACACAAGATAAGTCTTCCTTCCCTTCCACACGTGTTCCACCTTTAAGTTCTGATGGATCCTCGAGCCTCTGGCAAGTCAGTGCTGAGGCACAAGTAGTGAAATTGCAAGTTTGCTAACAAAGGCTGAAGCAGCAACATGAGAGTAATTGAACTTGAGCACAGGGATGGAAGAACAGGAACTGACATCAGGCCAGTATGAAGAGTAATTAAAATTAGGTTTGGGTCTGTGGACTTGCCAATATGAAATCTTGGGGGGAAGCTGTTGGGGGTGTGTGTGTGGGGGGTGTAGGGTGTGTGCGGGACTCTGCAAACCTGGTAAGAAAAGAGTAAACCAGGCAAGGGGGGAAATTATTCTTTCATAAGGAGAACAGAATGACTTTAAATTGGAAGAAAGAAAACCCACTTCAGTCTTAACCTTAATTTTTCCCTTTTTAGTTAGTTTCCTAAAGCTGAACTCATCAACTTCTACAACATACTGACTTGCAACTAATACAGTAATTTCAATCATTTTGATGTTAATTGTTAATCAAGAGGTTAACCTCCATGTGTACATATTTACACAATTACACTACTTACCATATGCTTAGATTTTTTTTTCCTGTATTACGTTAAAAATGTGGAAAAATAGTTTCTATCAGAATGTACTTATCGAGGTTTTACTCCAAACTGCATTTGGATGGATCTCAGAACTTCATTAAAATGAACAAAAATACATTTTTACTGCTGCTTTTTACTTAAATATAGCAAGGTTTTGATGGGCAAGACTAGTTTTATATAGCAAACATTTTATATCAAAACTAGTTTATCAAACAAGATTAGCAAATGAATTAGCCAACTAAATTGCTTGTTCTAGACATCATGCCTTCCAAGAATTGGAACTGACAAATTTAAACCTCTTTCCTCTCATCTATTCACGCACCGAATAAGGAAAGCAGAGTACCTGCTTTCTAAGCTTTCTGATTTCTCTCTCTGCACCTGTAGGCTACTAACGTCAAAACTGGTTTAGCTCTTCAGCAAATCCTAGTTCCAGGCACTTTGCCAACAGCTACCACTGATTCAGTGGCTGGACTTTAAAGACTTGGCAGCATCTGTGCACTATTTGAATACAACTTTTCTACTAGAAATTATTTGCATAGATTTTAAGTAGCTTAAGCTCTAAGACAGGCTGCTTTAAAAAAGTATTTTTAAAAAGTACTTCAAATATTAATTCATCTGCAGAGGCAGAATCGCAGAAGCTGCAGTTCTGCCCACTTTAGCTGGATAACTGCTATTTGCCCCTACAGCCCAATGTCATATACACCCACTGTTCCACCTGTTCTCCCACACAGCTGGACTGTTTTGCAAGCAGTGTCCCACAGGGAATATACCAGCCATACGAAGTGACTGCCAGGCCCCGAACGCAACCCCACCCACAGCTGCTATGAGAAGCACACCAAGGGAAATGGCACAGCAGCAGTAATGCTGCTTCCAAGGACCAGGACCAGGTCCTCCCAGGACAACACAGAGAAGAACAGAGGATCTGGTCAGTGATAACAGATGGTCGGTCAGGCCTGTGGTTGAGGAGTGGCCAATGTGCAAGGCCACAAAGAATAAAGTCACTTATGTGGAATCATCACCACCACCGTCTCTTTCCCACAACAAGCTGGAAAGCCTATAACTAATTTGCCATTCAAATTAACAGACTTTATTCCCACAATTTCTGCACTCACAGGGCTTGTGCGATAGAAACTACCTACACTTCCTCACAAACAAAACTTGAGGAAGAATCATTTAGAACAGTTTGGAATACTTTTTCTATGAGGGACTTCAAAGACAAGCTAGTTTTCTCCCCCCGCCCACAGCCAGCTACTGCTGTGCAATGCAGGACAGCAGTTGCCTACCCTGTCCCCAAGACCTTCAGTAAAGGGTTTTCAGCTTTCTCCCAAAGCAATCAATTCCATCCCTATGCATCCTGAGCCTCAGAAAGCTCTTCCTAATATTTAATCTAAAAATTACCATCTGCAATTTAGTCTATTACTTTTTGTTCTATCCACCATGAGCATGGAAAACAACACAAGTGTTTCCATTCATTTCTTTCCCTTCCTTGAAAACACAAGGCCTGCTTAGGTTTCTCCTTAAACTAACAACCAAGTACACTTGCTTGCTCTTTCCCCCAAATTCTTCCTTTCTAGACCTCTGACCACTCATGTTCCTCTCCTCTGGCCCCTCTCCAATTAATCTATAACTTTTGGAGACCAGAGCTCAAAGCTGGATACAGAACTCCAGCTAAAGCTCCACACTGAGGGAAAAAAAAGGAATCATAGAGTGGCATAGGCTAGAAGGGACCTTAGAGATCATCTAATCCAACCTCCCTCTCAACTAGATCAGGCTACTCAAGGCTCTGTCCAACTTGGCCTTGAACACCTCCAGGGATGGGGCATCCACAACTTCTCTGGGCAATTTATTCCAAAGTCTTACCACCCTCGTACTGAAGAATTTCTTCCTACGATCTGATCTAAATCTGTTCTCCTTCAACTTAAACCCATTTCCCCTTGTCCTGTCAGTGGACACTCTTGTAAAAAGTCCCTCCCCAGCCTTCCTGTAGGTTCCCTTCAGGTATTGGAAGGCAGTTATTAGGTCCCCCCGAAGTCTTCTCTTTTCAAGGCTGAACAATCCCAGCTCCCGCAACCTGTCCTTGTAGCAGAGGTGCTCCAGCCCCTGGATCATCTTTGTGGTCCTCCTCTGAACACGCTCCAACAGATCCATGTCGCTCTTATGGTGGGGACACCAGAACTGGACGCAGTATTCGAGGTGGGGTCTCACAAGAGCAGAGTAAAGGGGGAGAATCACCTCTCTTGACCTGCTGACCACGCTTCTCTTGATACATCCCAGGATGCGGTTGTTCTTCTGGACCGCATGAGCGCACTGCCGGCTCATGTTGAGCTTCTCATCTATAAACACCCCCAAATCCTTCTCTTCAGGGCTACTCTCAACCCACTCTGTGCCCAGTTTGTATGTGTGCCTAGGATTGGCCCGATCCAGGTGAAGGACCTTGCATTTTGACTTGTTGAAGCTCATGCAGTTAGCACTGGCCCATTTCTCTGCCTCTGTCTATACACTTGTGTTTTCAACCAGCCTGACCTTGTGATCAACTGCCATCCTTCGGCTTCTTTCTGAAACCTCACTGCTTTCCCAGCTGTTCCCATCCCACATTTACAGTCATTAGTCCTGCTAAGATTAGCACCTTTAGTCTGTTCCTACTGAACAACCCCTCCTATTTTTAGGCAGTTTGTCAGATTTGTCAAGATCGTCCTTAACTGTAGTTCCGAGCTCCAACATACTTGCAGCTCTTCCCAGATCTGGGTCTTCTGAAAATTTAATACTCATTATCTGTTTTATCACTTATTAAATACTGAGTGGATCAGGATCCTCTCACCAGATCAGAAACTGTAGATATTTACCTCTTGTTACCTATTGTTATTCAGCCAGCTTTTTGCCTGTCCTTTCATGCCATAATCAAGACCGCAAGTCTCTGCTTCATTAAAATAACCCCATGAACATTGTCAAAAACTTTAGAGAAGCAGAGATCCAGGACATTTGTCCTAAGCACCAGGCCTGCAACACTAACAGAAGAAAGTAGAACTGCAAAATAATTCTCTGAGCTTCTTGCTTTTCCTTCTGGGTCTTTGCATTCTTCCCCAGACAACTCACCTACCTGCTAATAGGCTGCACTGACAGGGACCAAAAAAAACATCTTAGCAACATTAATACTAGTCACAGTGAAGAGCTCAAAGGCAATTTGAAGTTAACCGCGCCTTTACATCAATGAGCTTGATCTCTACACACTTCTACCTGCTCACCTCCAAAGACTGACAGCTTCGGTTTCTAAAAGTTTTTAAAAAGCCACACTTGAAAGGGGACGCAGATTGGATGTGCAAGTGTTCTCTCAAATGAATATTTTGCCTAGCTCTACTTGTATTGGATCTAATTTAATCAAGGACTTCACCGCATAATTTTATTATTGGCAGCCCATTATATTTCAGCTTGGAAAATGTTATCTGTGAAAGTTACCCAAAGGACTGACAAAACTGCTAAGCAGCTGGTATACATAACCCAAAACCTCAAGTGCAGTTGCAACGCAATTACCTCTGTTCCCAGTAGGAACCCAAGACAAGTGTATAGAGAGGTCAATTAGCAAAGCACTCCCTTCCAGCACTGCAGTGCTAATTAGAAGAAAAAAAAAATATCTTACATCTATTTTACTCACAGTCTATGCTAAGAAAAGCACAGGCCAGACATGAGCACATATAGGATCTATGTATATGAAAGTTTGTGTTTTTCTCCCTTACCTTTTCTGGCTCTTCTTGCAGTTGTGGCTGATCTCTACTCTGAATGTTACACAACCTTTGGCTATGAGCAACAGAGCGTTTCAACGGCTCATCATCACTGTCAGAATCTACACAGGGTGCTGCAGAGCTCTTTGACTTGAAAGTGTATTTTCTGTAAATTAAAAACATGGCTATAAAACTTTATAGCATTGTACAAATCTGTTTCGAAGTAGTCGTTAAAGAAGTGTTACACCCAACTTTCATGTTGCAGGGCAGTACAATTTGGGGAACAAGCTGCCATGATTGACAATGAAAATTTAATAACATAGCAGGCAGAGTTTTAAGAAAAGGTGTATTTTACCAGGTTATCTGACATAACTAGTTCAAGCCTGCAATAGCGACTTACAACTTTAAAAGTTACTAAGTGTGTGGGCTCTTGCTTCTAAGGCCAAGGATTCTGCACTTTATTACCTAGCAATCCCAGACAGTGCTGTTTGAGTCAAGTCCACAGTAAAATGTAGAACTTGGCACAAACCATTGCATTTCTGAATTTTACTAAGCTGGACACAGGACTTCCCACATCATTACCAGGATATAAAAAGTGCAAATCTGAACAACTTCTTCAGTTTTCTTGTTTGCTCTTTCATTAAGATAAATTATTCCTGTTTTAGAACGGAAGACAAAGGAGTCTGGGGAAGTCACAATTTCTGCTCAATTAGGAAATCTGGTCTTTAAGTATTCCACAATGCAAAACTATCCAGTGTGATACCACATTTTTTGCTACAGCAAAAACTGGCCTTTCAAAACAGCCTATAAAAATGACACCTTCTCATCTTTGCAACTAAACTTAAGGAACTAACCACCTGTTCCCAAAACATACGTTGGGGTTCCATAGAGCCAGAATAGAGAAAAGAGACAGATCGCAGAATTAGAAACCATTTTGCTTCTTATATATGTGACTTGCAACTTCAAATGCAAGCTAGTTTAAGACAGCTGGCACTAACAAATCATCTGTACAAACTAAATCCAGTTCTTGTTCTGGTGCTCAACCTTCTGTCTGAAAAAAAAATAATAACCTTTGCTTACTTACAAGTCCCCGAAGGTTCTCAAAAGAAATGCTAAGGTGACCATGTCAACTAGGCAAATCGTACCACTGGTATTAACTTCAGTTAGCATGCAACACCAATAAAAATCAGATATGAAAAAAGACAGTAGGTGAAATAATTTACTACAATTGAAAAAATAGAAAAAATATAAGAAAGAAAAGAAAACAAATAGAAAAAGTGGAAAGATTAAAGAACTAGAAATTTTTAAAATGCTTTAAAAATTATCCCATGAAACCTCAGGCCATAGGCATTTCAGAGCTATAACTCACCTACAAGGTGTGGAAGTGCTTATAGTACAGGAATTCACCATTTGGGAGGCTTTCAACGGACGGGAACTATTAAAAAAGCAAAATATTTATTGCAGCAGTTACAATCTTTAAAAAATGTTTCCTTGTCTGCTGTGCATGCAAATCCATGACCAAAGAAACAAGTAGAGTACCATTATGTACTTGCTAATTGCTTAGATTTAGAGTAATAACTCCATCATGCTATAAATATACAACAGTTGTTCAAAACCCTACATAATCCTTTAAACTTGATTCACTTCTTAGTGATGCACCCTTAGGGACAAGCTCACAAATTAAAGGCTTCGGGCTCTCATGTCAAGACAACTCATTCCTTTATTTTTTATTCCCACCAACACTTGAATTTCTCCTCCCAAACTACAGTCTCCTGCTGCTGTCTGGATCAGCCGGTTTTCTGGCACGTCCCACATCTCCGTTTCCCCTCCCTTACCTAGATTCTTCTTGAAAAACTTCCTGTTCCATTTAGTCCTTTCATAGGCTCCTTGAAATCCATCACTATCACTACACATCTATCCACCAGGCAGCTGCCAATATTGAAATCTTTTCTAATCTTCCCCCTCGAACCAGTGCTGCTTCTCTGGAGCCTAGTCATCCTTCCACTCTCTGATCAATCAGAATGGCTTAAACGACTCAAAAAGAGCCATTGGAAAGCTACTTCAAACTTATTTTCGAGTATTTCTGTTCTGGTTAGGTTAGGTTGTTTGTTGTGTTTAAGAGGTAAAGATTTCTATTGTTAAAGCAAACTCTTGGAAAACATCCACGTCAATCTCAAACGCCACTAAACCTTCAGCACAAGAACATATGTCACACTGCTGAACATATACACCAGCTGTGTCCTAATTCACTGTGGCTACTGTGGTTATGTCATTAGGCAGGTACAAGAGACCCGAGGGCTTCTTGTTCCTTATTCTGCCACAGACTTTCTATATGATAACTGGCACATTTAATCTCTGTGTCTCAGGACAAGCAGCTACACGGAAATAACTGGCATAGAGAAAAGAAGAGAGTATTTTCAGCATGTAAAGTGCTCAGATACGACAGTGGCACAAGACAGACTGAAAAATGAATGACAGCACAGGAAGTGGAAGCAGAAATTAGCAGAAAAAGGTAGGATGTTAGGTCTCCTAAGCAGAGTTAAGTGTGCTGTGAAGGGAAAGGTGATCTAGACTATTTTGGACCGAGAGGCATAAATTTTAGAAATTAGTAACAAAAGTTCTCTTAAAAAGGATAGAAAGCTATTTTGAAGGACAGTGAGGAATTGAATAATTTTGTTTTACTAAATATTCCCTAAAGTCCAATCAACTCTTCCTACTGCTTCTGTTATGCTTCCTTTCCCTGCACGATCTCACGATGGCATCGTTACAAACTAGCAGTGCCCATGTTTCATTACGCAGACATCTTCTGGAGCAGGTCTGACAACTGCCTACCTCCAGGCATATTTGCTTAACATGGCATGGATCAATCACAAGTTGTACACTTACATTGCAGAATGGACGTTCCATCCCAGCGTCAGTGGCAGCCGAGTGCTTTCCGTACAGTGTGAAAGCAGGGTTAAATATCTTGGAATAACCACCTGCTGCCCAACTTTATGATTGAGAGACAATGCTACATTGAAGCTGTATCGTTTCAGATGAAGAATCAGGACCCTGAGAGAGATGAGGGGACAAATGTTAATCTCAAAACCGAAGTCAGAGAAAACCTATTTGAAATCCAAGCAGCCCTGTTTACAAAATACATTGACCTGACACTCTAAACCAGGTTTTTACTTTGGGGTGGTGGGGATACACTGTCTGCCTCTTATCTGGCAAGAGACAGGTAATTACTGTCCATCACTCAGCTTCACGTAAGGTGCAGAGTGCAGACTCTGACGACTCAAGAGGCTTGCTCTTCAGTCACGCAGAAGCAAGCAGCTCTTACCAAACTCATTACTTCCACTACACAGTGAGAGGTAGGAAACAATCGAAATATTCTCATTATAGGCCAGCATGCCAGCATATTACTCCCAGATATTCAAGACTGTGATGGCAGGATCACATCACTGCCCAAAATGGAGGAGGAACTGTGCCCAGGGCAAGATGTGCACTTGGTTTACCTGTCATGACACTTTCTCTTTGAAAGAGCTTTTGATCACAACAGTACAAAGAGCCTGAAAAGACCTTACACAGAATCTTCTCCCTTATGCTGCACTTCTGTACTGTCTCTTTACATCACTAAGCCATATCATCACTTACGTTGTGCTAATACTCAAAAACTTTTGACAAGGGTTTAGCAATGTTAGCATAAATATGCTATTTAAGCAAAACGCAAACAAACCAGCAAGTTACTGGCTTCAGCATGAGTATACCTGGGACAAAGACAGAGGTAAGATAGTCAGACAACAGATTCTTTTAGCTTTACATTCCCTGTGAAAATGATCCCTACCTCCAAGCACTTCCACTCTAAATAATGAACTAAACCCAATTAAGAGGTCAGAAAATATTGAGCATGCCATTAACCCTCAAAGTGTCTGCTGTCTTCCTCAAAGTGCCATGCTTACTGAGAGAAAACAGGTATCAGCATGGGAGGAATTAACTGATCAAAGTAAAAACCTCTATATGCCTTCTGGCACTAATGCCTCCAACTCAGTCCTGCCCATCAAGGCACTTGAGCACAAAATATTAAAGTTTCAGAATGTATTTACTGTTTCCGCTTCCCTCATGCCCCTGAAACCCCAAGAAAAGGAAGAAACTCAGCCCTCTGTGTAGTGATAGGAAGGAAAAAGAAAACGTTGCAGAAGGTGACCAAGAGTTTCTTTAGAGGGAAACTGAAAAACAGCATGAAGACTACTGTCTGCACGTGCATCTTTCTCACATGCTGACCACTGTACATGCTTGTCCTACCCATTTCGCCAGCTTTACTCTTCAAGAGACTTTTGCTTGCACTTTTGTAACGTGTGCTTCCCAGAAAGAGAGGAGCAGATGTCAACATTTACCTGGGAAGCCTGTTGAACTTGTGTGTGACAACGGCAGACTTTCCATTGCACTTCTCACAGGAATACTCGATCTCCTCTGCCTGTTTAAGAGAACAGGAAAATAACTAGTGGAACAAGAGACACATCGAACAGATCTCAACAGAAAGCATATTGCTTTTGGCTGTCACAGAAGCTCTTCAAAACAGCAGTTACACTTAAAATTATAATCACCTTCAACATGACCTAACAAGAAGGCATCTGGTAAAAGGACAGGTGGTAGAGCTTACAATTAGGTAACGTACCTAGCAATACAGGTGGAATTTTTAATGCAAGTCTATTGCAGACCAGTGAATTATCCACAGTTCAGACAAATTAACTTCCAAAGAGAGGGGACAATCTTGCCAGGCTTACAGTTTTCTCTCGCATCACAGGTTTTTTTTTTCCAAATAACCTTTGGTGGAAGATAATTTACCATGAAGTTTTCTCTGTCTTGTTCAAAACCTCAACTTTGCTCCTGAAAAGCTATCCTCATCTAAACTTGTCAAGGATGTGCTGCACCAGAATAGAGTTTTGAACAGACGGCAAAAGAGGAAGCATCACTGTGCTGAAATTACATGACTTAGCCATCAAACATTTCTACAGCCCTTTTCTTTAAGTGAGGCCAAACGACAACACTATAATTTTAAGTTTTTTTTAATCATAAGACTTCCACCAGCTTTTAGAAGAAAAAGCATGTCAACTATTCTATCTGTTGAAAACACTATCTGTAAATGGGATTAGGAGAAAAAAAAAACACAGGTCTCTCAAGATACAAGAAAATACAATACATTCACAGAGGTAAGGTTCGTTTTTAGCTTTCAGAAACCTCATCTTGAAGTTCTGCTTACAAGATGAGTGTGCGCATATTACAACTACTTTTCAGTTACTGTATCTGCACGACCTTTTTCCTCCATGGCAATTCAGACCAGTGCATAGGCTGTTGAAGCATCCCAGCCCAGAAGAAGCAGCAGCAACTTCTGAGTTATTATCTCAATCTGACTGCCTCTCATTTGTATTTGTTTATGCCTCAACTCTTCCACCACAAAATTGGGAAGTTTACCTATTTCACAGCAGTATTTTCAGTCAATTTCTGCATAGCATTTTACAATAAAACCTCCTGTATACGGTTAATTTCCAAAACTCAAAGTGCAAATTTAATTATTTCACATGCCAGCAATCACTGTCATAGAAAATAATAATCAGCTACACAATCAAAATTTCCATACAGTGTATAACCTACACATACTCCACAATGAATAAAAAAAACCCCAAAACTATATACCCGAAAAAAGAGGTCAAGCGAATCTTGGATTGATCGAGAAGGAAGCAACTTCTTTCTTCGAGGAAGGTCAATGGAGAGGTCATTAAACTGTTCTCGTTTGGTGACTGTTTCACCACACCTAAAAAGAAACACACTTATGTAAGTCTGATGAAAAACATACTTGAAATCAATGGCAACTTACATTTTTTTAGGCTAAACTAACTTCCCAGTAACTATATGCCTCAATCTATTTTTACTCATCAGAATGAAACTGTTTGATGCTTATGACAAAGTTGAATTTCGAGATTTCACTTTGGTGCTTTAGAAGTTGAAAGAAACATTTGAGTAAGGGTGAGAACGAAAAACCACAGACTGCTTTGGAGAGGCAAGTGATCAGTCACACAGGAAATCAAAGTGACTGCTACGTAGCTGGACACGTTTTCTTCATTCAGCGTTCTTGAGAGAAGAAGTCAGCCCAGCCCAGAAGAAATGAAAGCCTAGAAATACTTTCAAACTGTTTTTAGAAACAAAATAGTAGAATCCATCTAAAAAGGAATCACAGTTTTCTTATGTTTTTTTTTTTTTTTTTTTTTAAAAAGCAAACCCTACAGTCATTTGTCTTCAATAATTATTACCTGCATGCAATTTACTTTTAATTATTTTAGGGAACTAATGCAGTATATAGAAAGTAATACTCCCAAATGTCTGTGTTCATGAAAACTGTGGAATACAAGCATCCCGTATGGGAATGTGCTGCACAGGTCACACAAAATGAATGGCCAGACATACTGGTTTGCATCTTTTTCTGCAATAACATAGAGAAACAGAAGAAAATGCCATTCCTTGGAAGCCCTTAGAAAGAATAAATGAAAAAACATGGCTTCCTTTTTTTTTTTTTAAAGGAAACGTTACTTGGCTGAAATCCCCTTTTCTCCCTATTTTCACACAACTAGTAGAATCATAGAATGGTTAGGGCTGGAA